CATATATATATGTATTCATGTATACATGAGCACATACACATGAAAACATAAATATGTACCACCGTGGGGCGATGAACTGTATAATATAACCCTCAAAATAGGTCATTTCTTTGGTATACAGTTTTGATTGAACATTTTTCAATTATCCACGCTTAAGTTTTAAATATTTCTTGCACATAATAAACAGTATACACATGTATGCGAATCGTACGTCTGAACATAAATCGCACAGGATGAACGCTTCCAGGTTAACGACGTATGTTCTCTGGGGCTATTACTGAATATGTCCGTCCTCTATTACATGAGCGGATCCGGGGCGGACCCCTTTTTGTGTCGCCTATTGCTATTTCGGCGTCGTCGGCGTCGTCGGTGTCGGCGGCGTCGGTGGCGGTGTCGGCGGCGTCGTCCGAACAGAGGTTTAATAACTTAATAACTTGAGTTTCCTTGAGCCGATCAAACTCAAACTTCATGTAGTGCTTTCTTACCAAAAGCGCTTGCTTGGGATTGCTTTTCAGGTTCGAAGGTCAAAGGTCAAGGTCACTGTTACTATACATATAAAATCTGTTTTCGTGCGATAACTTGAGTTTCCTTGGGCTGATCAAACTCAAACTTCATGCAGTGCTTCCTTACCAAAAGTGCTTGCTTGGGATTGCTTTTCAGGTTCGAAGGTCAAAGGTCAAGGACACTGTTACTATACATCTAAAATCTGTTTTCGTGCGATAACTTGAGTTTCCTTGAGCCGATCAAACTCAAACTTCATGTAGTGCTTTCTTACCAAAAGCGCTTGCTTGGGATTGCTTTTCAGGGCCGATAGTCAAAGGTTAAGGTCACTGTTACTACAAATAGAAACTTCACTAAAAGAAATTTTGGAAATTGGAAACCTTGGTTTAGACATATTTGCATATCTCGTGCTTTGCGTCACATATATTTCCGTGCAGTAACCAATTGAAAGGATCCAAATACATTATTAAGTTAAAGAAATCACAGCTCTATTTTAGTAAATAACCTGAAATTTCTTCAGAATTTTAAATTAAGTATGTTTTGCTGAAATATTTTCCTTACATCCGTCAGGTGAACGTAAGTGTTATCTCCCCTACGCAATGGTATTATTTTTCAAATAAAATTTCGTGCATTAGTCAAATGTAACTTACCATTTTTCCTTATGTTACTCTATTGAAATTAAAAACGTTTGACAGCGAATAATCACTTTGTACAATTTCAAAATGAGCCGTACAAAAAGATCTTGTTTTAGGGAAAAAAAGCGATGCTTGCAGGACTCGAACCATCGAAGACGAAAACGTCGACTGTCGTGTAAGACCTGCCGGTTAAGCCCACTACACCACTCCATTAGATACTGTAAAATCGAGTTTTTATACTATATTTGGCGTGGATCATCCTTGGGAAGTGGGGAACCAATTTTGTATAAACCATGGGTCTAGCTCCCCAGGGCCTGAGGGGCGGGGCCCAATAGGGAAACAGCAAATTATTCTTTAAAATCTTTCTTCTTCTGTAGGAATGAAAGGATTTGGTCCATATTTGGTCAGAAGCATCCTTGGGGGAAGGGGAATAAAGTTTGTATAAATGGTTGGTCGGGCCCCCCTGGGGGCTGAGGGGCGGGGCCCAAAAGGGGAAACATAGCAAATTATTCTACAAAATCCTTCTTCTGTAGGAATGAAAGGATTTGGTCCATATTTGGTCAGAAGCATCCTTGGGGGAAGGGGAATAAAGTTTGTATAAATGGTTGGTCGGGCCCCCCTGGGGGCTGAGGGGCGGGGCCCAAAAGGGGAAACATAGCAAATTATTCTACAAAATCCTTCTTCTGTAGGAATGAAAGGATTTGGTCCATATTTGGTCAGAAGCATCCTTGGGGGAAGGGGAATAAAGTTTGTATAAATGGTTGGTCGGGCCCCCCTGGGGGCTGAGGGGCGGGGCCCAAAAGGGGAAACATAGCAAATTATTCTACAAAATCCTTCTTCTGTAGGAATGAAAGGATTTGGTCCATATTTGGTCAGAAGCATCCTTGGGGGAAGGGGAATAAAGTTTGTATAAATGGTTGGTCGGGCCCCCCTGGGGGCTGAGGGGCGGGGCCCAAAAGGGGAAACATAGCAAATTATTCTACAAAATCCTTCTTCTGTAGGAATGAAAGGATTTGGTCCATATTTGGTCAGAAGCATCCTTGGGGGAAGGGGACCTAATTTTGTATAAATCAAGGGTCTGGCCCCCCAGGGACCTGAGGGGTTGGGCCCAATAGGGGAAAAATAAACGTAAATCTTCAAAATCCTTCTTCTTCGGTAGGAATGACAGGATTTTGTCCATATTTGGTCTAAAGCATTCTTGGGTGAAGGGGAACCAATTTTGTATAAACGGTGTGTCTGACCCCGCTGTAGGCAGAGAGGCGGGGACCAATAGGGAAAATAGAGGTAAAACCTTTAAAATCCTTCTTCTACCATAGGGATTAAGGGATTTTATCTTAATTTAGTCTGGAGCATCCTTGGGCCAAGGGGACTCAATTTTGTATTAGCAATAGGTGTGGTCTCCGAGGGGGGTAGAAGGGCGGAGCCCAATAGGAGAAATAGAGATAAAACCTTTAAAATCCTTCTCCGACCATCGGGATAAAGGGATTTTATCCTTATTTAGTGTGGAGCATCCTTGGGTGACGGTGACACAATTTTGTATAATTGGTGAGTATGACCCCCGTAGGGGCATAGGGGCGGGGCTCTGTTTGAAGTTTGTTCTCTATATCTCAAGTACTGGATGGATCTTTCTGAAATTTGATATGTACTTACAGCACCTACCATTGAGTGCTATATCTTTACTTCATACCAATTACTTTGATTATATGCAGGTGAGCGATACAGGCCCTCCGGGCCTCTTGTTTAATTTTATTTTTGTGTTTTTTCCTCATTTTTTGTGTATTTTTCACTATTTTATCCGTTTTTCAACTTGTTGAAACATCCTAATTTAAGTATAAAATGATGTTTATGACCTCTCATTTGTATTTTCATACTGATTTCAGTGTTTGTTGAGGAAATATTTGAGTTTTTTTTTAATATTATTTTTGTGTTTTTTCCTCATTTTTTGGAGTTTTTTCACTATTTTATCCGTTTTTCAACTTGTTGAAACATCCTTATTTAAGTATAAAGGGATGTTTACGATCTCTCATTGGTGTTTTCATACTGTTTTAAGAATTTTGGAGTGGAGACAACATGAACTTTCAATAAATAAAATATTGTTTAAGCGATTTGTGCCAGTGGATCTAATGGAAACAAAAATATACATGTATTCAGAAAACCATATCTCAGTGGTCAACGACAAGTCATTTAACCTGTCAAATCATCCGTGTTATTGTGCTAGTTTGTTAAGGTCCTTGTTTAATTTGTGGAATTATATTGACGCCAACCTGAACGTCCATTTCTCCTCCCTATACATAGCTACCTTTTTAGGCATTTTATAAAACGCAACCAATGGTCAATTTGTATTCTCAACCAATTTTCATGAAATGTACTCCTGGTTTCTTAACACTAAATTGACTTTTACATGTTCACATGTTAGGTTAACTTTTATCACTATCTAATAAGATTTTGTTGAAACAATGAACGTATATCATAAAGGCGGCGTATTGTGTACCATTTGAATCACACTTGTTTCAGATGTTAACACGTTTTCTTGGGAACATATTGAAACAAAAGTAATCACATCTGATGATTTTCCCTAGAGTTTGCAGACATAAACATATCACATTTACACCAGAAGTGAAATCGGTAAAAAATTATAATTCAATTTTGTGATTTGAATGAACGAAAGAGTACATAAATGAAAAATAAATAAATAATACAATGTAAATAAAAAGCCAAATAAATTAATCGACATATAAATAAACACATATGAGCATCGTGTAACACAAGTCTTTATTTCCAGGTACACTATCATGTCCATGTGAGTACGTGATAGAAGGCTGCGAGGCGGTGTTCAAGGTGCAACGCAATAGGGGAACCACACCTCTGTTGTATTAGCTGCAACAGAGGACGCGTAAGAATAAAGACAAAAATGGTCATCATGTATATGTAACGGGGCGTTTTGAAACAAACAGCGGGTTACATCCATGGACATCTTCTAACAGGTATTAAGATTATTATTCTGATCTAGGAATATATCTCCTGTATTTATACATATATACCTTATTAGTATCGTAAAACCTCGTGCATTGTGAACTATTTTCCCCCGTTATCACGCCTGAAATTTGGACTTACAAGTTTATTTTAACAGAAAGATTGTCGGTTTTAAAGTTTCGCCATCTTAAACAGGGGATTTTCTCTAGTCAGTTTGCATACAGAACATTGAGACAGGTGAAAATGAATCACAATATTCTTAAGATACTTCAGTCATGATTGATAATCAATGCATAGAAAAATTGATGACAACAAAGCTTTTGCTTTAATTTTACGTCCACAGATGCTTAATTTTAGCAGAATATATCATATGCACAATTTACAACAGGTATAAGAAAACCGCAATTGTAAATTTTATATAAATCTATGACAAGTTAGTTTCAAAAGTTTAAGCAAGCATTCCACATCATTATCAAAACAGTTACACACTCTATCGTCTGTTATATGGACGATAGCATTCTGACAATGTTCAAACTGACTTGCAATGTTATTTTCCTGTTTTCCTGTTTAATACTCGGCTTTGGACAGCGATTAAGATAGTAGAGGAAATTACATGTATATTACAATACCAACATGTGAAAGCATGAATAGAGGTTCATTTACTTACACACATATTAAGGAACTTCAACGAACATATGTAAACAGTCAATTAGATCTACGTCATGTATACCGCCAAGGCCGAGACTACCAACAGCCAAGCCGCGAGGGATGTAGTGTTGGAATTTCGACTATTATGTTCACCATGACATACACATAAAATATTTCTCATATTTTATAAATTCAAATCTAGCAATTCTCGTCATAACAAATAGCGCTTTTTCATACCGGATGTCAACATCGGCCTATTAGTCCATGCTGCCGAATGCTTATCGTTTGCAATCACATCTGCACAAGAATACACTCTTGGAATTTCTCTGGGTAGAGTCGCCTTCTTCATAAGTTAAACCACTGTTTCTTCTTTGTTTTTGTCAATAGGAGTGACTGAAGTTGAATGTAGCGGTCGTGTGGGAGGTTTTACTTTCGACTCATATTGATTTTAGATGTAGGGATTTAATCTTTGAGTTTTTCCAATGTTAATAAAGTTTGAATGGCGGAGAATTTACTTACAGCACACACTTCACATGAACGACTTTCGCTTTGCGTCGTAACGAATCGCTCATGTGATAAGCTTTTCATAGTATTTAAAGACAAAGATAACATGAGTAAATATTGTTATGTTAAGTAATTTAGTAGTCCTTTCTGAAATATATCAGTATCGGACAAGGACTCTGACTTTTCATTCAACATGCATGAAGTTTATG